TTTTATTTGTAACTGAAAGGAACATCAGAGATTATCTACTTCAACCTTCTCATTTTACAATCGAGAAAACCAAAGACCCTGAAAAGTAAAATGACTTGTCAAATGTCACATAGAAGACCCTAGCTCCTTCCAATTTCTCTTTCTCTCACCTCTTGCCCTATACAATGTAAGGCTCACCGAACTGAGGAAGATCCTCCTCTTCATATCCAGTGGATATTAGAGAACAAGTTCCTAATGATGTTGTCATGTCTAACACAAGAGAAATGCATTCTTAGAATTTCAAAGAAAATTCTGAATGGATTTTCTGAAAGAAAAACTGTTGTATACAGTGTAGGTATTTTCAATATAATATTTACCCTAATTATTATTAATATAATTCTCTAGTATTATAAATCTTATAATTTAGGTACATTAAGGGTTAAATTTGGTGGGCTGCCTGCAAATCTAACCACCAAGAATATTGTTTTTGAGGAAGTTCCAAGTTCTAAACCATTTTACAAATTTTAAAATACATATCTCATGCTAAATTAGGAACCAGTAATACACAATGAATCAAAATTATAAACTGAATGTGATAAATTAAAAATACAAGATTCTTCACTTTATAAAAAGCTCTACCTCAGGGGTCATTTATTTTTAAAACTTGGTATTCAGGCACATTTTGCACAGGATATAATTTACATACATCTTTTTAATAATATTTCACTAGAAAACTGAAGTAAGAAAAAAAAAAAATCCGAAACATTTCTATACTTACTAATTTAGGAAAAACAACAAAAAAACTTTAATGTATATTTTCATGAAGTGACCTATAAGAAGTAAGAAAATTAATCATTTTAAGAATGAAAGGTTGACAATCCACATTACAGTATATAGATATTTAGTAATCTTCCAAAAAATGTGTCGGTAAAGGGATTCTATCTGAACAGGTAAATAAACTTCAAAGAACCTCCAAAACATTTTCTCTTTTCTCTTGAAATAAAGCTATGTCTCATGAATTAAAATTTGATAAATCTATTTTTAAAAATTTCTATTCAGTCCATTAAATCAATGGATATTCTTCACTCATTCATTTTATTTGTCTAACAACAACAAAAATGAGCCCCTACTATTTGCTAAACACTATGCTGGCAATTTGGGATTTATGACAGTAAGATTCAGGTTAGTTTCTGTCCTCAAGGACCTTAGAAAAACCTTTAATTACCTGTATTTACCCAAGTGATAATGACAGCTGAATTTTAAGTTGGTCATTTGCAAAAACATTAAAAATGTAATCAAATTCATTCTCAAAAAAAGAAACTATACAATAGTAATTTTAAAGACATTTAAATAAACTCATCATCTATATGAAGTTTCCCTACAAAGTAACCAAAAATATGGCTTTGGCAAAAGTTCTAATAATATATTTTATTAGTAGCTTTTGCTATAAAAATTAACTGAGCTAATAATACTCCAATAAGGAGATCAAAAGCTATTATTACCATCTCTATGATAATGAAAACCAAACCCTCGGAAATGGATACCTTAACCTATTCTGAAAATGAAGAAAAATGTATAATTAAATATAGTATTATACAACATTAATACATTATATATGAGTATGCAATTATTTACAAACTTGAATAATAAACAAAACTTCATATCATACCTTATAAATGATCCCAACTATGCATTTTGGATCATGTCATCTGTAAATTTTTCAATGAAAAAGCCTTAATGTTTCCTGGAAATTTTTTTTTTTTTTTTTACAAACTTAATTCAAGATTCTACTTGTTTATTACCAAGTCATGTAACTTTTTTCATCAATATGAACTATATCTACAGTTATATCTACATATAGGTATTTACTACAGTACCTATTAAATTTGTAATTATTAAAAACTCTTGATAGATGAGAAACATTTTTCAATTTATAACCATATATCTCCAAAACAAAATTCAATGTAAATCAGCCATTCTAACATGCCAGGGACTATCCTAATAACATTTTTTTCCTTGTATTTTACCCTGAAATATTTTCATCATCCATCAGCTAAAATATATAAATTTTCTTTAAAAGCATTATGAAAACATCTTTATTGAATTTATGCATACTACTCAGTGACATAAATGGATATTATCTCCATTTACATATAAGGAAACCAAGGCACAGAGGTGTCCATTTTGTAAATTGCAAGGTCATTTCCTAACCAAGCAACTGATCCTACACCATCAAGTTATATTTTATGTGCGCCACTTCCAAATGCCATAAAACAATTACTGTACCTTAAAACAACTGCCTCTGCAATGCCTATGGGCAATTCTGTTTTATCAAAAGGGTTATGGCAACAAGCTTAAATGAGAAAAGCCAGAAGGGGAGGATTACAAAAAAAAAAAGAAACACTTATTTTTGGCAGTGAATCATTTATTTTTAGATAACAAGAGGTAAACAGTTTTTAACATAATAATCAAGTAACCAACTGCTGTTTCTTCCGTTTTCAAAAAAATATTCCATCTTTCAGGTAGATCATGCAAAACTGGAGCCTGCCCATCCTTGGAGAGAGAAGTTAGAAAAAATGAGAAAAAAAATTCTACAAGTAATTAAATACATGATATTGCAAAGAACTGACTGAAAAATAAAATTTAAGAGAAATTAGCGAATGCTCATTATGGCAGTTGAAACCCCACCTTAAATATTAAATGCTTCCTTTCTTTCAACTGAAGGCTATGGTCAGCAATAAATTATTACCGAAAAATAACGAAATACAAAACTTTTTACTCAAAACTTGAGAAATTTTATATCAAGTGCTTTATTCAAATATTCACCATAAAAAAAGAATACTTTGCTAACAGAAACCTAGAGCATACGGGAAAAACTGTTCCTGAGAGTTCAAAGACAGACTGCATTTATAACTATGAGATAGTACTATCAACAGTTAGAAAGATGAAAGTTACCTATCACCCATATTAAATTTAAGAACATTAGATGCGTTGAATAACCAATAAATCAATTACCGCACAAGAAATAAGACTTAACTAATGCGTGAATCTAACACCAAAGAAAAAATTAAATTATAAGCCAAAGCACACCTTATAAAGAAAAGGACAGGATCAGACTGAGTCATATTAAAGTATCTAGTCTAGCTGGGGATTAGTTAATTAATCGGCTATAAGACAGGTTGTGAATGTTCAGGTCAGATGTGCTTTCTTTTCATCATTATTCCAGTTCATCACCCGCAAGTGCATGCAAGAGAAGGCGTCAGAGTACCGAAGCTAGGGGGCATGCTGTAGCAAGGGGAAAAGAAAAATGGGAAAGGTGCAATGGATGCTGCATAGTTGAATAATTATCTGGGTGGCACAATGGGCGAGTCCTGCCGACAGCGGAGCTGAGTAAGCGGCTCCCTAACTCTGCCCGAGGCACTCCCCCATTACCAGGCATCCGAGGCGACCTCCCCGCTTCGCCCCCTCTTCCGGGGAAGAAAGGGATCCCCGCACTCGCTTTACCTTTATGTCTGTAATATAAAGACGCGCGGCGCAAACACGCAAACGCACTAGCCGGCTTTACAGAGCCTCCCGCACGTAGCGCAAGCGGGGGCTTCTCTGCCACCCGGTGCTGCAGCCGCCCCCAGAGCGAGGAGGAAAGGGGGTGCCGGCCAGGGCAGGGGCGCTCAGGCGGTGGCACCCCAGGTGAGACCAGCCGTCTCCCCACCTACAGCAGCCTCGGGCGGTCCCTGCAACCGAGACCCAGGCGCGCCGGCTGGCTGCTGTCTCCCTCGGCACCCAGCCGGGCTGGCGGGTGGGCGGCCGGAGCTCCGGAAACCCGCGAATGGGGGTGGGGGCCGTTGCGGGGGAGGCGCGCCCATCCCCGTCACCTTTGCCGGGCAAGAGCGCCACACACACCTCTCTCCGTTCTGGCCAGTGAGAAAGAGTTCCTCTCCCAGCACCCTGTCCCCACCAAAAAACAATTCCTGAGAGACTCGCGCTCACCGTGAAATCATGGGGGGCTCTTGCCTTACCCCGTCTTCATGCTTCGGTGGCGGCCGCCGGTGCCCCTCAGCTCCCGGGACTCCACCTAGAGCCTCCAGGAGCGACAGTCTCCGGCGTGGAATCCGCTCGGGGCAGCGGCCGAGGCACCGGGCTACTGGGAACGCCGCCTGCGGCGCCCGCCGG